ACCAATAATACTTTGTGAACTCCAGGTAAGTCCAGGAATATAACAACATTATAATATGTTGTTGTTCAGTTGCTAAGCTGTGTCCAACTCTTTGCAACCCCATGGACTGCAGCATGCCAGGCTTCCCTGTCCTTCACTGTCTCCTGGAATTTGCTCAAACTCACGTCCATTGAGTCGGTGACGCCATTCAACCATCTCATCCTCTGTTATCCCTTCTCCTCCTGCCTTCAGTCTTTCCCATCATCAGGGTCTTTTCCAATGAGTCGGCTCTTCACATCAGGTGGCCAAAGAATTGAAGCTCCAGCTTTACCATCAGTCCTTCCAATGAATAGTCATGGTTGGTTTCCTTTAGGATTGACTGGTTTGATCTCCTTGCTGTCCAAGGGACTCTCAAGAATCGTCTCCAATACAAGGTTTGAAAGTTTTAGTATATAGTGGTTCCTGAAACTTACTTGGCCAAGAAACCTTTCTCTCCAAAAAGCACTTCGAGGGCACAGGATTCTGCAGGACACCCCCCCTTGGGAAATACTGAGCCATCTTGCCTTCTATGCCGTTTCATATTTTTCAGAAACTTGAGTTTAATTGCTGCCCAGTATTCCAGCAGTTAAACCAACTAATTATGGTTTCTTTGAGGCCACCTCTGATCACCCCCTTCAGAAGTGAAAATGTTGAGTCAAAGTGAAGGAATGTTTCAAGACTTTTTTTTTAATTTTAATTTTATTGGAGTTGTTGATTTACAATGCAGTGTTAGTTTTAGGTATATAGCAACATGATTCAGTTATATTCATTCGTTTTTAGATTCTTTTCTCATGTAGCTTATCACAGAATACTGAATACTGTTCCTTGTGCTATACAGTAGGTCCTTGTTGGCTATCTATTTTATATATAGTAGTGTGCGTGTGTTTATCCCAAGCTTCTGATTTATCCCTCTCCCTCACATTTACTCTTAGGTAATCGCAGGTTTGTTATCGATATCTGTAAGTCTGTTTTGTAAGTCAGTTCATTTGTATCTTTTTAAAAAATTAGATTCCACATATAAGTGATATCATATGGTATTTGTCTTTCTGTGTTTGACCTGCTTCAGTCAGTATGATAAAGTCTGGGTCCATCCATGTTGCTGCAGATGGTATTATTTTGTTCTTTTTTTAATAGCTGAGTAATATTCCATTGTGTACCCCAAGGATCAAACCTTCATCCCTTAGTCTCCTGCATTGGCTGGTGGATTCTTTACCACTAGTGACACTTGGGAAGCCCATATATATACACCACATCTTCTTAATCCATTCCTCTGCCAGTGGACTTGTAGGTAAGCCTTTGCAAATACATTGTCCAGATGCTTTCCAGAAAGGCCATGCCCATGTATCCCTCTGCTGGCTGCTGGAAGTGGGCGGCACCTGTGAAAGCTGAGGGTCTAACACACTCAGAGGAGGGCAATCCCTTGCCCTCACCCTATAGACATCCAGCAATTACAACACAGTCACACACACACGGACATAGACAGTCATTTCTTTCGAGCGAACACATTGTCTGTTCGCAGCGCCCTGTGCTTCTTCTAAACGATTAAATGTCACCTGAAAGTTATCTGAACTCTTTAACGTGACATTCTAGATATAGTTAGGGAGGAAGGGATTTCGAATTGGCCTCTATTGTGCTGATTTTTCGGAGAAGGCAATGGCACCCCACTCCAGTACTCTTGCCTGGAAAATCCCATGGACGGAGGAGCCTGATAGGCTGCAGTCCATGGGGTCGTGAAGAGTCGGACATGACTGACCGATTTCACTTTCACTTTTCACTTTTATGCATTGGAGAAGGAAATGGCAACCCACTCCAGTGTTCTTGCCTGGAGAATCCCAGGGACTGGGTCGCACAGAGTCAGACACGACTGAAGTGACTTAACAGCAGTAGCAGCAGTGCTGATTTTTAAATAACCTTTCAAGGTGAGTTGTTTTGATAAGTTTTGTCAACCTCCTGTGATTGTGCACTTTGTTTCTAGAAGAATCTTTTACTCAAGTGTTTCATCAGTCTTAACTCCGACCTCATGGAAATGGATTGATGTCATGTTGAATACTGAGGCTGTTTGTGGTGCTTTTGTTTTATATTTGTGGGGGAAGTATACACGTTGTAGGCAAGAGGTGATTCATCTTTCTGTCCTCCACAAACATCCTTTGGTCAATGCGTTATTGGGTTTTAGAACTGAGACTCGAACTTTAGCTCATTAAAACCCCCAAGTCCCCGGCAATAAAGTTGAAGTGGCTTCACCCCCGGATTTATTTCAAAATGATTCCATTTGGAGGAAGGAAAGAGCAAGTAATGCATTATATAGAAAGCTCTAATCAATAATTCATGAGACCTGTAGACCAGTGATTCTTCGAGATTCACTTCATGGCATTACTGCTGAGAACTATTTTAGAAGATCCACAGTTTGTGTCTGAGTTTGCAAGTGTCTCGATTTTCGAGATGTACATTTGGGGGACTGCCTCTCCTCCTTCAGGTGTTTAAGTGGACTTTTCTTAGATGGAAGTTGTTTTGGAAAAATGAGCATTTTATGTAATTGGACTGCAGGGACACTTTATTCCTTTCCATTAGCAAAGCAGGAATGTCTAGCAAACACATGGCTTTTTCCTCCTTTATGGCAGGAATTCTGATTTTGGTTTCTGCATCTGGAGTGGGTTGCCAAAAAATGGACTAAAAATAGATGTTTGAGGGCTGACCAGGACAGCCCAGAGCTGGGTAGTCAGTGCTGATGGAAAGCTCTGTCCTCAGTGAGTCATGGTCAGTAGCCAGGGCCCTCCTGTCAGGAACTCCTGTGTCCCTCCTGAGCTCCATGTAACACGTGCCCCCTTCTGAAAACCACACGGGTGGAGGGCAGCTTCTCATGGAATGGAGACTCGCCCGAGGGCCAGAGGCTGGGACAGGGACCTGCTCCCTTGTACACTCTGGTGAGGCTGTGCTTGCATCCTGCAGTAGAAGGGAACCTCGGGGCTGGACATGCGTCCAGTTTCCAGATAGGAGCATTTCAACTTGGCCAGTGTTGGTTCAGTGAAGAGCATTGCACAGGAAGTAAACGAATGATGGTTTTATTGTTTGCCAGGAAAATGTCCGTCCTTCCTCCCCTCCCTGCTAGCCCCCACCCCAACTCTAGTAAATATGGCTGCTTTTATTTTTATTATTTTAAATTTGATTTTTATCTCATATTGGAGATTTACAGTGTTATGTTACTTTCGGTGTACAGCAAAGTGATTTTTATACATATATATAAATCCATATAAGAGACATGGGTTTGATCCCTGGGTTGGGAAGATCCCCTGGAGTAGGAGATGGCAACCCACTCCATTATTCTTGCTGGAAAATCCCATGGACAGAGGAACATGGCAGACTATGGTCCATAGGGTCGAAAAGAGTCAGACATGACTGAAGTGACTTAGCAAGCACATATCCCTCTGAATCTACTGTTTTATGTATAGTAGTGTGTATATGGGGCTTCCCAGGTGGCACTAGTGGTTAGAATCCATCTGCCAATGCAGGAGACACAAGAGATGCAGGTGTGATCTCTGGGTTGGGAAAAGCCCCTGGAGGAGGAAATGGTGACTCACTCCAGTATTCTTGCCTGGAGAATCACATGGACAGGGGGACCCTGGCAAGCTACAGTCCATAGGGTCACAAAGAGTCAGACATGACTGAAGCAACTTAGCATGCATGCGCGGTATGTACATGTTAATCCAAAATTCCTAATTTATTCCTCCTAGCTTTCCTCTCTGGTAACCATAAGTTTGTTTTCTATGTCAGTGAGTCAGTTCATGTTTTGTAAAGAAGTTCATTTGTATTATTTTTTTAGATTTCACATATAAGTGTTATCATAAGATGCTTGCCTTTCTCTGTCTGACTTTCTGTAAGCAGTTCTTTTTATTTTTTTCTCCTTTAAATATTTATTTATTTATTCACTTACTTGGCTGCACTGGGTCTTAGTTGTAGGTTACAGGATTTTCGTTGTGGTGTGCTGGGTCCCTAGTTGCGGCATGTGGGATCTAGTTCCCTGACCAGGGCTCAAATCTGGGCCCCCTGAATTGGGAGGGTGAAGTCTTAGCCACTGGGCCACCAGGGAAGTCCCTCGGTAGTCACATCTTTAAATACATTGCTATGGATGAGTGAGTGCCTCCCTCCCCAAAGCCACACCAACTCCAGTTATGATGTCTTTTTTAATACTTAATAAATTAATAAATAGCTCATCATTGGTTTTGTTTTCATTTCTTTTATTATCATTGAACATGTTTAAAAATATTTATTTGCAATTTATAAGTCTTCCTCTGTGATTCATCTATCCATATCCTTTGTTCATTTTTCTATTGAGCTGTTATCTTTTTCTCATTGTCTTTCAAAACTCCTCTGTGATGTATTCTTCAAATATATTCAAATATGTTTAAAGGTATATTCTTCAAAATAGACATAAAATCTGTGTGTGTCCCCAGGATAAGTATCTATCCTACTTGGGGATAAGTGGTTCTGGTGACCAGCGATGCTGGCTCTGTTCACATTTGTAGTGAAGCTCATCTCTCTTACTGTTGAGAATTTGCAGGAATTGCCCAGCCCCGAGGGCAGAGGCCGTTGTGCCCCAGCTGCAGTGTTCTGCCCTAGAGGCTGGCCCCAGATTGTGTGATCTGTGTCCTTAGTAGACATCTTCCTATTGTTGTATCATCCTAATGAGATTGTCCTGGTTCATCATATCAGATAAACAAAGAGCAGTAAAGAAAAGAAAATTCCTAGGATACCACACTGATAATAACATTTACTTTTGGTCGGGCCTAAGAGTGAATTTCATGGTCTGTAAACCACAAGGGTATGATCTGTGGTGGAGGAAAATGTATTATCTGAGTCCTGGGGAAGTCCTAGGGGGCGAATCCAGGCATTCTATGGGGCTGATGTAGGACGATAATTTTATGGTAATGTGGGATTGTATAAAATATGCGTACTTTGGCCTAAAACTGTCCCTTGTTCCTCATCAGTTCCATTCACTGGCCCCCATGTACTATCGTGGATCTGCTGCAGCTGTCATAGTGTACGACATTACCAAGCAGGTAGGAACGTCCCCTTTAGAACTCTGGTGCCATTTATGGCCTCTCTCTGTTCTAGAAAGACCGAAGCAGGGACTTCACTGCCTGAGTCCTGCCTGGAGCCTGGGATGAGGTTGCACAGTATGGTGCAATGGTGGTTGCTGGGAATGAACACTAAATGCTGAGTTTATCTTGTCTATATGCAGCAAGTGGAGGAAATGGGAACCCAAACAAGTATTCTTACCTGGAGAATCCCATGGACAGAAGAGCCTGGTGGGCCACAGTCCATAGGGTCGCAAAGAGTCAGACATGACTGAGCAACTAAACAACAACAATATGTAGCGAAGCCTTTCAAATATGTTTGCTAAATTAAAGAATAGTCATCATTCATTTTTAAAATTGATTGTCTGTTCGTAGGGGTAAGGTCATGCTTGCTAATACTGTTCTCCAGAATGTTCAATTTTTTTAAGAAAAGGAAAAGTATTTTTCAGTTTTGCATCTTTGGTTATTGTTGTTGTTTAGTCACTAAGTCATGTCCAACTTTTTTGCAAAAAAAAAAAGATATATACATATATGTTTTTGCTTTTGTGATAAATCATGAACAACATTGTTTCAGTCCTGTAGCTTCATCTTATTCTTGTTAAGGCAAGGCTGTAATTTAAAATTAATGTTATTTGTAGAAGGAAATTACTAACATGATTATCTTAACTTCATCAAGTTTATGTTTTAGAAAAGGAACCTTTTACAGCCTATGTGAGTAAAACTTATCTAATACTAAATTTTGTGCCAAGATTGGGGTAGTATGTTCATCTCTGTGTGTGTGCCCCCTGAAAATATTTTTCTTCAGTGGATTATATTGAGTTTGTATTTCTATGTGGTTGAGATATTACGTTGATGGGTCTTTCCCAAGGTTGACTACACTTTTGGTTTAGGATTCATTTCATACCTTGAAGAAATGGGTGAAAGAGCTGAAAGAACATGGTCCAGAAAACATCGTGATGGCCATCGCTGGGAACAAGTGCGATCTCTCAGACATCAGGTGAGAGGAATTTAAAAGATGTGTGTGGGGCTCATGTCTTCCACCTTGAATGTCTGTGCTTGAAACGCTGTCATACCCATGTAGTTAAGTCTGTTCTGTCATCATTTAACCCATGTCATCCATTTGTGGTCGTCAAGGTGTTATTTATTCAAGCAGAGTAGAATTGAGAGGAAATAATTGTGAAATGCAAATATGAGGGAGCACTCACTCTTGAATATTGCCATCAAGTCTCCTATACAGAGCACAGTTACACTCCTGACTCTACATGTCTTTGGGCTAAATGGTTTCATTATTTTTTTAAATAAATAAATTAATTTATTTTCTTGGCCTCACCAAGAGGCTTGCAGGATCTTAGTTCCCCAGCGAGGGATGGAACCTGGACCTAGCAGTGGAAGCTCGGGGTCCTAACCTGTGGTCCACCAGGGAATTCCCTTATTATTGTTTATTGTTACCTTTTCTGTTGTTTTTGTCATTATTACTAACATTACTGTTTTAGTAACATTTTCATATGGGAAGGAGTGTTAGAATTCTTCACATTTTCCATAACGTCCTGTTCGTTTTCTTTCTAGACTTTAATTTAAAGGATGTGGCCAGGTCAGTATGAGCTCACTGTTTTGTTCCAAGATCTGAATTTGGTGCCTCATGTGTGAACACTTTGGCTTCCCCCAGAGAGAGTAGAGTGTCTGCCCTGGCTATTTCTGGGCAGTCATTGTGAGTAAAGAGCAGATAGGAAAATAGGACCCTAAAGCGTGTATATGTGTGTGTATACACATATGTTTTTTCTTTTCTGAAAAATCATGAACAACATTGTTTCAGTCCTGTAGCTTCATCTTACTCATATTAAGGCAAGGCTGTAGTTTAAAATTAACGTGATTTAGATATTGAACTTCTGCTGGAGGAAGGTTTGTAGGAGCCTAGACTACGTAGATGAGAGCTATGATGGTGGCTTTATCTAGCCTAATAAGCAAACTATTTTTACTAAATAAAACTGAAATTAAAAAGGAAACGGTGGATTTGCATTGTCTCCCTCCCCTGGTTAATTTAATTCTCAGCAGTGCGAGTACTTGATTTTCATAAAGACCACGACCCACGCTTCAGGTTTTGCTAATCCAGACATGATGAAACCAAAGCGTGATGAATGATGAAAACAGACCTTGTGGAAACCCTGAAGGTAGTCTCTGCCAGGTTGCTCTGTTTCTTTGGGATTTCAAAAGCTTTATATCACATTGCATCAGGTTGGTTTGTAATCACACCCGTAACCACCACTTAATTGTTTGTTTTTCAGGGTACAAATCTTTAAACTCTCTAGACTTAGTTTAGGTCTCTGCCTTCTTTACTGTAATCCTGAGACAGCCTGATCATCTAGAATGCCCAGCCGAATGGCTTTCACTTCTGTTGTTGGAAGGAGGTGGGGTGGGCAGATGGAGGTGGGCTCTGCTGAGAGAAAGCCTCTGTTAGCCGACACCACGTATTGTGGTAAAGGTGTGGCTTTCCGTGAACTAAGCCTTGAAGATCGTGGGAGAACTGATGGGTGACAGTTTAAGCAAAAAATGATTTAAACGTGAATGAAATTAGGACTCTTGATTACAGAGAATTGAAACCAAATTGAAATTAATTTCAGCAAAGAGTGGAATTTGTTGCAAGGTACTCACGGCTCAGACAGTAAAGAATCCACCTGCAATGCAGGAGACTTGGATTCGAGTCGTGGGTCGGGAAGATCCCCTGGAGGAGGACAGGGCAACCCGATCCAGTATTCTTGTCTGGAGAATTCCGTGGACAGAAGAGCCTGGTGGGTTATAGTCCATGGGGTCGCAGACAGTTGGACATGACTAAGTGACTAACACTTTCAGTTTTCACTGGTATCCACATGGTGAAAAAACAGAGGTGCCTTTAGCTCTGGTATTTGGTTTGTTCCATTTTTGGTCTCTAGAAAGATCCTGGCCTGATGCTCTATCTGTTTCTAAATTGCCGTGGAAGGATTGCCCCACTTCATAACACAGCATTTGTGGCCGAGGAAGAGGATGTGATTGGGACGTGATTTACATGAATATAAAACTCTGGAAGACAGTTGGGCAATTTCTTTTAAAACCAAGCATGAAATCATTGTGTGTTTAGCAATCACACTCTTGGGGCATTTATCCCAGAGAAATGAAAATGTGGGTTCACAGAAAACCAGCATGTGAGTGTTCATAGAAGCCTTGTTAGTGGCATAATCAGTCCGCCTGTCCTTCAGTGGACACAGCAGGCGAGTCTCACTGTGCAATACTTCTCAGCAATGTAAAGAAACAGAACAGATGCAAGCCACCTGGACGAACCTGCAGGGAAATACAGCTGAGTGAGTAAAGCCAGTACCAAGGGTTTCATGGTGTATGATTCTACTTTATAATGTTTGGGGAGTGAAGCCATTTTTGAAACAGAGAGGGATTAGCAGTTATGGTCGGGATGATTGTGGGGGGTGGGGGGAGGAAGGGCCTCATGGACATCCTTGTGATGCTGGAACTGTCTCCTCTCTGTGGGTGGAGGGGACACGCAAAACCACACGGGTGATAAAACTGTGTAGAGCTTAATTCATACAGAGGAGCACCAGTAAAACCAGGGGAATCTGAACGAGATGGAGTGTGGGTGTCAGGATTCTGGGTGATCTTATAGTTTTGCAAAATGGTGCCATTTGGGAAAACAGAGCAACGTGTACAAGGACTCTCGGTTCTTGTAACTACGGGTGAATCCACAACTACTCCAGTAAAAGTTTCAATTCACCAAAAACTAGATTTAGATTAAAAAAAAATTAAATCTTAGGCAGTGGTGTGTGTGTGCATATGTATATGTGCACATACCTGCATATTATATATATATTGTATATGATGAACTAAAGCTTTGTAAACACACTGAGCCAAAGAATGAATTTAACCACTCCCCGCCCCCCTCCATGCACACACATGCTGTACAGAAGAACAACAGTGGAACTATATAAAAACTCCCATTTAGGACAGCCTGGAGGGGGAAGCCTGGTGGACTGGTCCTTGCCCGAAGGATAAACTTTCTGCCTCTAGACAGAAATAGTCTGGTAAGTGATAGGCCTGTGAACCTAGCGGGCACCTGCTGTTGATTCCTGTCCACGGCAGCGGAGTCGAGTTCTTGGTCAGCCAGTCCAGCTGCTCCGGATTCCGCCTGCTGGTACGACTTTTCTGGGGCATTAGCCAAGTATACACTCGAGACCTTATTTAGAGCTTGACCTTCTTTTACTTTAATCTGAATTACTTGGCTTCTTCTGTAATTGCCAAAGACTACAGTTTGGTTTTCACTGGGAATTGGAGAAGGAGCGTATATAGATTTGGGGTGTGTGTGTGTGTGTGTGTGTGTGTGAGCCTGGGGGGACCAGGCTCACCTAACAGATGAGATTATATAGATTTGGGGTGTGTGTGTGTAGGGGGACAGATTTTGGTTGGCTGTGTAAGCCTTTTAATCCTTGTGCTGAGCTATGCCTGGCATAGTTTGAAAGTGCCCTGGAATTGAATTGGGATTAACTTCCTGACTTGACTCAGCCCACTGGAGGCCCTGTGGGAAGTACATGGAAAGAGAAGAAAGTGTCTCCTTAGAGCTCTTTCCTTTGTTTGGGGAGCCAGAGGCCCACACGGTGGGAGAGGGGGAAAGTGCCTAGTGAGCAATAAAAACTATGTTAATAAAGTTCCCCGTTCGGGTGCAGGAGGACAGAGGGATTCGGGAACAGGAAAGCGCACAGTCACGGAGGTGATGGGGAAGGCCGTGGATACCACGTGTCGCACACTGGGCTGTTGAGGAGGAGCCGGGTAGGAGGCGATGCCGGGAAGGGAGGACAGTGGACAGAGGCATGCACGAGGGAGGGCCTTTGACAGGTGTCATGGGGGCCTGTGACAGGCCTGCGCTTGGGAATGGGGAGAAGACAGTGGGTGGTACGTGGACAGTCTGTAAACAGCTTACAAGTGTGTGGAGTGTTTGGGTTGATGCGCGTGGGGTCCTGCCTCCTGCTTGGGTCTCTCATACCCGGGGCTCCATTGTCTATCAGTCACGACTCTGTCTTCTCCTGAGCCTCTGTGGCCTCAGCTTCTCAACACAGAGCTTCGTGGAGTCACCAGTAACTAAAGCTGGGGAGTTTACCTGCCAGCCTCAGCGCAGGCATGGGGCCACTGAGGTTCCTGCAGTTTCCTGGGTAACAGCCAGACCGAGGGCCTGGGCCGAGGGCTGGATGGTGCAGGCTCGGCCCCCCATGCAGCTGCTCGAGACACACACCAGCCCCATCAGAAGTCACCAGGCACCAGTGCTTTCAAGTTTGGGGAGAAAGTCAAGGGCTGTAGCAGATGAGAAATATATTTGGAAATGCATATTTTTGACTAAGAAAACACAAATTGCTTTCACTGCTTACATGTGACTTTAAAGCTCATTCCAGTCTTCACAGTGGGCCAAAAATGGTCTAAGTGTTTCTTTAAAATTATACAGACCGAATGATAGGACTTTAGATGTTGGGTGGTAAAAATCCAATTTATTCCAAATACTGAAAAGCACAAAAGCCAGTGAACCAGTACAAAACCCAGTTCAGTAGTCAAAAACCGCTACTGTACAAGATGTGGAAATATGCCGCAAGTTTTAAAACCCAACCAGGGAATTCCCTGGCAGTCCATTAGTTAAGACTCTGAATTTTCACCACCCTAGGTTCAATCCCTTGTCGGGGAACTAAGATTCCGCAAGCCTCAAGGTGCAATACAAACAAACAAGTAAATGAGTGAATGAATCAATGGACCCAGCATTTTCCTTACGTGAGATAAGGAGGCGTAGAGTCTGCCCTGTTACAGCGTGTGCTGTGAGCCCTGAGATGCACGATTTTCTGTGCTGTGTGGGGGCCAAGCCTGCATCCCTCATCCAAGCAGGAGGAAGGAACTGATGATTGTCCTTCCCAGACAATGGTCTGGGATTGCTTTCCATTTCAGTTATAAAAGTACTCTTAATGAAGAGACAGGAGGAGGGGG